CATATTTAACAACTTTCCCTTTTAGATCCCCTGACTACTGGTACAAACCTCTTTTCAGTATAGTACCAGTGTTCACAAAGCTGACTAAACACATCTTTAAAAAATATCTAGAAGCTACAAGTAGCCAAGTATCACACAGAATCTCATACTATCACTGCTTATAGACAAATAAATTAAGGCTCTGAAAAAGAGACTAGTTTGCCCAGGGTCAGCCATGAGGGAAGGCAAAGGGACTTCTTTCTCCTGACCCAGGTTCTGTGGACTTGGGCTTTGAAAATCTGAGTTTGGTCCCAAATGCATCCTTGGATATTTTTGGCAGTGCACGACTGCTGGAAGAATTAAGCAGATCCATTGACTTCTGGTTTGCAGATTACCCTGTTTAGGAAGAGCATGAGATTTAAACAATAAACTTTACTTTCTTCACCCATTCAGAAGCGAAGTTATAAAGGTGCAAAATGCCTGCATACTGGCACTAAGTCTTAGCTACAGTCACTTCATCAATTAAAAGAAGGCCTAAAATCGCTGGGTGTGGTAACACATGCCTGTAATCCCAGCACTCAGGAGGCTGAGGCAGAGGATCACAGCAAGTTCGAGGCCAACCTGGGGTACATAGTGAGTTCAAGGCCAGTCTAAACTATATAGCAAGACCCTGTCTCAAAAACACTTAAAAAGAAAAAAGAATTAGAATCATACTACAAAAAAATTATTTATCATTGAAGTCAACAGAAGAGTCTAACTTTACAGACTCAGAAAAAGAACACAGTTGTGTAGAGAAGGCCAAACAGGGGGCCCTCCATCTTCTCCACAAGTCCTTTCCTCCAAATGCCCATTAGGATTGAAATAAATTTTTGTTGTTTGATTTTGTTTTTGATACCGGGGATTGAACTTGGGTCCTTGCGCTTTCGAGGCAGGCGGTGGAACCATTAAGCTAAATCCTGGGCGCCATTAGGATTGAAATTGGCAAGACAGGAAGTAAGCAACGAAAGGAGCTGAGAAACTACTCAGCTATGATCTTTTCTTGCAAACATGAAAGATACATTTTTTCCAAGTGAAAAGCTGAAAAATCCAAGTATTGCTCATTTCCTATTGAGCCCTGGTCACCACTCCAGGTGGAGATTTCCAGTCTAAAAGAAAATGTTTCTTCAAAGAACTATTTCCAAAGGTTGGCTGGATAGTGTGCATCAAGGACAATCTCACACCTGGTCATTTGATGGCTAATGAAAGCGATGACCAAGGAGCGCTATCCCTGAAGCCTGAAGTGGTACATCCAGGGCATGGTGAAGTAGCTGCAGAGTCCAAGTAACCTGTGAACTAAGGGCAACCAAGAGAAAGCCTTAGCAGGAAGCTTAATACTGATACTGGCTGAGAAGTTCTGAATGCAGAGGAGATACAGTTTCCCACTCCTAAAAGCATGGGTACAGCTGAGCTTTGGCAATAATTTTAAAAGTATTTGTTTTATAAGAAGAGAATTAAGTCAATCTCTAAGCCATACACTGGGACTAAAAATCAGAAACAGGAGCACTGATGAGCCAAGCAAAAGGTTAACCAGGAAGCTTCCCCAGCGTGAGCCATTCAATTCCAGAAATAAGAGCAAACTTCCCCTCACCACCTCACTAACCTCTTATCCACCTAGATACTAAGGTTTCAGGGCCCCTTCACATCACCCACAAGGGACCCTATCTCAGCAGCCATACTTGTAAAGGGCACAGCAGCTGCTACCCTTCCTTTTTCATAGGTGGTGCTATCTCTCTGATGGAAAAACAAATTTGACAGATCAAATGAGAGAAGCGAGGTCAGCTGGCCAAGGAGATGGGTCTGTGGATGTCAAGTGAGACTCCAGGTCCAGAACTTCTGAAAGCAGCACAACAAAGAAAACTGCCCAAAAGGTTTACTGAAGTTGAACACATACCAGTAGAATTTGGGCCCACCTGTAATTATCAGTGAAAAGGTACTTTTTAGAAAACAACCAAGGTCAGTAAGCAAATTAATGTTTTTCTAACCAATCAGCAATTTTCACACCAAAATAACTTGCATGAAATTTTAATTTCTGAAACATACGTTTCCTTACACTTTTATCTTTAAACCAAAGTTCTTTATCAATTAGATAAATGACACAAATCCAGAGGCTAGTCCTCTTCAGTTGAGAATGAGGCAGGAGAAGTGGATGGGACATATTTGAATCACAATTACAAAATTGGTTCTTTTAGCTCTTGAAATATTTTCTTTTTAAAAACAGCCAGGTGGGCCAGGGATTTAGCTCAGTGGTGCTGCTACCTACCTCACAAGTACAAGGACCCGAGTTCAATCCCTGGTACCAAAACAAAAACAAAATGGCCAGGCATGGTGGCACATGCCTGTAATCCCGCATTCTGGAGACTGAGGCAGGAGAGTTTGACATTACCCTGGGCTAAATAATAAGTTCAAGGTCAGCCTGAACTAGTGAGACCCTGTCTCAAAAACAAATAAATAAAAACTACCAGAACCATTTAATAAATTTAAATTAACATCTGAAAGAACTAAGCAGAAAAAGTTTTTTTTTTTTCCATGCAAAACTCACTGGAAATTCATGTTACATTTGATGTACAAAAATGCTGCAAACTTAGTTTGAAACAAGATTGTTAGAGCAATTCACCTGCAAAATTAAGAGAAAGCATAATGCTGAAATACAAATAGATTAAAAGCAGACAAGAAGGAAGTATGAGCACATGGAGAATAAAAAGGACATTTGCTTTTATTACTTAAGTAGGGGCCCCAGTGAGGCAGTAATATTCTCAACATTCTCACAAAGACAAACTCCACACAGTATTGCTGGTTGATACCAGGCCACAGTTGTTTTCATCACGTACCAACCCAGAGAGGATTCTTCTGCAGTGCCAAGTAAACTTCAATTGAAAGTCTAAAGACCCCAAGCGAGGTACACTTGAGAAGAGGTCAATGAACCAATATCAGCCCTGGCATCATTCATTTTGGACATTTTATCAGTCATCCTCCCAACGAGTTCTAAAAGCCAGCCCACTTCTTTGTTGCATTCCCCCATCTGGCATCTGGGAAGGAGATAACAGCACATGCTTTCTCTTTTCCCATTTCTAAAATATTGTCTGCAGTTTGAAACATTCATCCAAAGAAAGTGATCAATGATCCTTTGGAAATCTGTTTCACAAACCCAAAGAAAGTGCACTCATTGCCTCTTCGTATAAAAAGTTAAGTAACAGCCTGCTAGGAGGAAGAGGGGGACACATACCTCCCCTAAGTACTATGAGAGGAGTCCACCACTCATGGGTGAGTGGATGGGCTGGGGGAAGAGGAGCTCCTTGCAGCAGGCCACATTTGGGCAGTTGAATCACTTACCTTTCCCTCGGGGTCCAGAGCTGCTGGGGCCGGCGCTGCCCACCACGCAGGGTGAGTCCTTCCTGGGCCTCTTGCTCTGTGGCCGAACACTGGACCTGAGGAAGTGGTGCTGGTCCTGGGGGCTGCCCTGCGGTGGGGACGACGCCTGTGGCCCCCCAGGGGGCGCGGAGGCGCCGTCGGCTCGTGAGGTCGGTTCCTCCCTCTTTGTGCCGCTGCCGTCCTCAGCCACGTCCGCGCCGCCAGCCCCCTCTCCTTCCAGGGACTCCTCATCAGCCGACCTCTTCCCCAGCTTCTTGAGCCCTTCCTCCCCGCTGCCGGCGTCGCCCAACTTCACTGTCATCCTGCAGCAGAGAGAGGGCGAGGGGCGGTGAGGCGGCGCCAGGCAGAAGTTTACCGCCGGGCCTCAACATGGCGGCCGTTGTTTGTTCCAGCGCCGCCCGCCCGCCCGTCGGCCCGCACCGCGCCGGACCAGAACCCTCTTGCCTTGGCTCACG